TCCTCTCACCTCAGCCTCCTAAAGTGCTGGGATCACAGGTGTGTGCCATTGCACCCGCCCATAAAGTTTTTATCAAAGTAATGTTTCAAGTCACTGGCAGGGAAAGGAAGAAATAAATAGTAAGTGGGATTGAGACATCCATTTAGAATGATAGATCCATTTAGGAGATAAGTATAATTTGACCTTTGCCTCCCATCATACACAGTTATGATGTAATAGAAAGGATTAATAATTTCTATAGCTTGACAGAACAAATTTCAATGGTAAATGATTAAAAAGTTCTAGGCTGGGCGTGATGACTCATGCCTATAATCCCAGCACTTTGGGGGCCAAAAGGTGGGTTACTTGAGCCCAGGAGTTTGAGACCAGCCTGGGCAACCTGGTGAGACCCCGTCTCTATGAAAAATAAAAAAAAATTACCCAGGTGTGGTGGTACACACTTGTAGCCCAGCTACTAAGGAGGCTGAGGTGGGAGGATCACTTGAGCCCAGGAGGTCGAGGCTGCAGTGAGCTGTGATCGTGGCACTGCACTCTAGCCTGGGTGGAGTGAGATCCTGTCTCAAAAAAACAAAAAGTGCTTAACCACAACTATCAGGGAGAACAAATTCAATTACTAATGAGAGTATAACCCTGTCAGATTGTCAAAAGCTTTTTAAAAAGTGACAAGATCTGTAGAAGATTTCTGCAGGGCTGCAGAGGAGGGTAATCAACAATTTTTGGAAAAATGATAGTTAATTATACCGCATACATAGTACCGTACGAGTAATCTGTTCAGCTTCTCTCAGGTTCCAGAATGTCTCAGCATTTAGTAATTTACTTAAAAGGTTGTCTGAAGTTCTAAACTCTTGAATTGCATTTTAAGTTGGTTTTTAGACAAACTCCTTTTGTTAATCACTTTCAACTTTTTTCTTTTTGTTCCCCTTTAGGAAACTACTTTCTAGAGGAAAACAACCCTCCATAGACAACATAATCCGGGCTGGTTTGATTCCAAAATTTGTGTCCTTCTTGGGCAGAACTGATTGTAGTCCCATTCAGTTTGAGTCTGCTTGGGCACTCACTAACATTGCTTCTGGGACATCAGAACAGACCAAGGCTGTGGTAGATGGAGGTGCCATCCCAGCATTCATCTCTCTGTTGGCATCTCCCCATGCTCACATCAGTGAACAAGCCGTCTGGGCTCTAGGAAACATTGCAGGTACTTGGACTTGAAGTTCTTTTGACTGAATGTATCTAAGCATAATGAGTTGGAAGAAAGGCCTTATTATAAGCAATAATGACTTTGTCAAGTTTTGAGCTTGCTTTCAAGTCGTTATTAGGAATGAAAGTGTCGTCTTTACAAAGGCAGCAGAGGGCCATCTAAGTACGTTTGGGAGTTTTTGCTGGTGCATCAGTCACTGAACGTTGATGGTGTTGGACAAGATAATAAAATTAATCTTGCTTTTTTTTCAGGTGACGGCTCAGTGTTCCGAGACTTGGTTATTAAGTATGGTGCAGTTGACCCACTGTTGGCTCTGCTTGCGGTTCCTGATATGTCATCTTTAGCAGTAAGTTACTAACATGAATAAAATTACTCACTTCTTCATTCTAATTTCCCCCATCTTCTCAAAAGACAGAACCTCTCATTGCCTATTTTTTTCCCCTAGCGTGGCTCCTTACGTAATCTTACCTGGACACTTTCAAATCTTTGCCGCAACAAGAATCCTGCACCCCCGATAGATGCTGTTGAGCAGATTCTTCCTACCTTAGTTCGGCTCCTGCATCATGATGATCCAGAAGTATTAGCAGATACCTGCTGGGCTATTTCCTACCTTACTGATGGTCCGAATGAACGAATTGACATGGTCATGAAAACAGGAGTTGTGCCCCAACTTGTGAAGCTTCTAGGAGCTTCTGAATTGCCAATTGTGGTAAGTTATTTACTTGTAGATTAGGACGTAAGTATAAGAAGCATGGTCAAGGCTGGGCGTGGTGGCTCACGCCTGTATAATCCCGTATAATCCCAGCACTTTGGGAGACCGAGGCGGGTGGATCAGCTGAGGTCAGGAGTTCGAGACCAGCCTGGCCAACATGGTGAAACCCCATCTCTACTAAAAATGCAAAGAAATTAACTGGACGTGGTGGCATGCACTTTAATCCCAAGGCAGGAGAATTGTTTGAACCCGGGAGGCGGAGGCTGCAGTAAGCCGAGATTATGCCATTGCACTCCAGCCTGGGTACAGAATTTCTGAAGTGCTGAGAAAAAAATAAGGTAACCAGCATCAACAATTTTTCCTTTTCAGACTCCTACCTTAAGAGCCATAGGGAATATTGTCACTGGTACAGATGAACAGACTCAGGTTGTGACTGATGCAGGAGCACTTGCTGTCTTTCCCAGCCTGCTCACCAACCCCAAAACTAACATTCAGAAGGAAGCTACATGGACAATGTCAAACATCACAGCTGGCCATCAGGATCAGATACAGCAAGTTGTGAATCATGGATTAGTCCCATTCCTTGTCAGTGTTCTCTCTAAGGTAATGAAGTCTTAGGATTTAATCAAGTCATTTTTTAGTATTTATAGAAAACTGTGCTTGATAAGCTTCTTCACGTGCAAGAATCTTGGGTTCTACTTGGAGTCCTTTGCTGAAAAATACCCAGGAACCCCTTTCACTTAAGGTTGGATAGAACCTTGGTCCTTTCAGTCATTGTTTTTGTGAAAAAGTACTCTTGGAATCTTATTTGTGCAACTTTCTGAAATCAAACCATTTCCTTATGTTGAATAGGCAGATTTTAAGACACAAAAGGAGGCTGTATGGGCCATGACCAACTATACTAGTGGTGGAACAGTTGAGCAGATTGTGTACCTCATTCACTGTGGCATAATAGAACCGTTGATGAACCTCTTAACTGCAAAAGATACCAAGATTATTCTGTTATCCTGGATGCCATTTCAAATATCTTTCAGGTAAGTCCTATCAAGGTGGCTTTGTTTGAATTTGAACTTGATAATAGTTTGCTATTTAGACCTGGGGGAGGGCAGCTGTTGTAAGTTTACTCACTAGTAAGCCAAAGATTCAGAAAGCCTGTTTAGGTGGGCCACACCTTTGATTAAAAATGTGGCAGGCATTATCAAAGATATAAAAGAGATGACAAGTGGATGATGGGACCTGAATCGAAGTCGGGTGCTTATGTGAACTCATCACACCTGTTCACTTGGTTGATTTAATGTCCCAATTTTCTACTGAATTTTGGTGAAATTAAATTTGAATGACTTGGCGCAGTGGCTCATGCCTGTAATCCCAGCACTTTGGGAGGCCGAGGAGGGTGGATCACCTGAGGTCAGGAGTTCGAGACCAGCCTGGCCAACATGGCGAAACCCTGTCTCTACTAAAGATACAAAAATTAGCCAGGCGTGGTGGCGGGTGCCTATAATTCCAGCTACTCAGGAGGCTGAGGCAGGAGAATTGCTTAAACCCTGGGCGGGGGGCGGAGGTTGCAGTGAGCCAAGATTGCGTCACTTCACCCCAGTCTGGGCGAAAGAGTGAAACTGTCTCAAAAAAAAAAAAATTCTGAATGACTTAATTATATTTTTCTTCTGGTTCCACCCCTAATTGATCCAAGCATACCAGCATATGGCACTTTGTCATAGTGATTGGTGGTAGGTAAGCCCTTCTCATCAACTTTGGATTCTAGAGATTTTTACATATAGAAGTTGAGCCTATAGGCTGGGCGTGCTGGCTCATGCCTGTAATCTCGGCACTTTGGGAGGCCGAGGCAGGTGGATCATGAGGTCAGGAGTTCAGGACCAGCCTGGCCAACATAGTGAGACCCCGTCTCTACTAAAAATACAAACACTGAGCCAGATGTGGTGGCGGGCGCCTGTAATTCCAGCTGTTCAGGAGCTGAGGCAGGAGAATCGCTTGAACCTGGGAGGCGGAAGTTGCAGTGAGCCAAGATTGTGCCATTGCACTCCAACCTGGGCAACAAGAGTGAAACTCTTGTCTAAAAAAAAAAAAAGTTGAGCCTACAATAATGGATGCTGGCGTATTTGTCACTGTGTATAAATAATTTGTCAATATGTGGCCAGTATTTCCTCTTCCCCCTCATCTAATCCCCTGAGTTATTTTCAAGTAAATCTGCTATTTCATCTATAGATATTTATGTGTCTCTTAAAAGTTGAAAATTTAAAGAAAAACTAACCTACATACCATTCTATATGCCCAATAAATCCTTAATACCAACACACATTCTGGTCAGACATTTAGTTTAGCACTCCATAGGCCATCTTTGCCTTTGACACCTTGACTGCACCTTGTGATGATAAAGGATGTTTTACAGAACAATAAGCCCCTGTTCCCATAGCAGACCAGTTGAACTGGAATGTAGTGTGTTTTAAAAGTTGCCCACGTGATTTTGATACATAGAAAAGGTTGAGAGCTATTGATTTTAAGATCTTTGGCTCCAGTTGAAGTAGTGCTGAAAGCAGGTATAGATCCAATCACATTGAATTTCAACAAAATATAAAATGGACTGTGATAGTGATAGGTTTGTTGAAGGAACTGTTAGGTGATTATTTCTGCCTGACATGTATCTATATTCAAATTATCGATGTTGTTTTGTTCATTAAAATAAAACATTCAGAGTATACACCAGTAAACTTGGAATTTTTTTTTTTAGGCTGCTGAGAAACTAGGTGAAACTGAGAAACTTAGTATAATGATTGAAGAATGTGGCGGCTTAGACAAAATTGAAGCTCTGCAAAACCATGAAAATGAGTCTGTGTATAAGGCTTCGTTAAGCTTAATTGAGAAGTATTTCTCTGTAGAGGTGAGTCATGGATGGTAATATTAATAATAACTTGGAAACATCTAAAGTCAAGCCCTTTTTTTCCCTCATAATTTTAAAAATGAGCCTCATATCTTTGTTAAATATAGTAAAATTATCAGTGTACATAGGATGTCATGTATTTATTTGCCCCTCTGATGTTTGGCTTGATAGTAATAAAATCTTTTTATTTTTTCTTTTTTGGTTTCTACAAATTATTTTATTAGAATGTCAGACTCAAAAGGAACTACCAGTAACATGCCTGAAAATGCTATATATGATTTATGCTTGACCCATGACCCCTGCTGTCACGGGATCCAGAGTGTGAACAAGGGAAAAGGAAGTGGAGGTGGGCGGGGACAGCACTAGCCCTGGCTGGCCAGACATCGGGCCCACAGACCTGGTCCCCATAACCACCAGGATCCGTACAATGTACACATTCCTAATTCAGGCTCAACTCTCCTTTACCCAAGAGTAAATGCCTCAGGACTCAGTCTGAATCACTGTCCGTCTCGGCTTCTGTCACATCCACACTGAATTTGTACTCCTGGTCACATCCCATGTAAGTGTCACTCATGAAATATGGAGTGTCGTTGTGGGCACCAGTGGCTGGGGCCACAAAGTCCAACTTCACCTTGGCCTTCTGCCTCAGCGTCAGCCTCTTGATGGAGATGAGGCTACTGGACGTGGCATCTCCAGTCACCACCCACCAGCCCTCTTCATGTTTCTGCGGGAAGAGAGGCACAACGACAGGGCCTGTGACTTCCTCCTCTCGCTGCACCTGCACCAGCACCACCACTGGCCTGCCACTGCGGATGCTGTCCTTATCTACCACCTCATAAGATAGTTCGATATTAGGGTAGCGGTTACAAAAGCGAGCCACATCTGTAATCTGGTTGTCAGTCAGCTGAAGCAATGCGTTCCATTCTTCATCCTCCATCTCCAGGATGTCGAAAACACTCTCCACTCCCTTGTCTGTGCAACGTTTGATATGCTCAGAGGTGAAGTGTGGCAGCTGCTTCAGGTATGAGTCCTGGGACCACAAGGCTTGAGTGACCCTCTGGGCCAGTTGCATAGCTGCCGCAGCAGAGCTGAGCCACCCATTGCGGGAGAGGACATCCACGCAGGCCTGGATAAGCCGGATTGCCTTACTAAGGATTTCCTCCGTATGTGACTGCAACTCAGCACTCAGCTGCATGCGGGACAGGCGAGCCTGCAGGAGCAGGTTGGCCTTGATGTGTGGATCATTGAACTTAGGGTTATTCAGCTTGTGGGGGACCTTCTGAGCCAACTGCCTCAGGAAGTTGTCTTCATGGTGCCGGATGGGAATGTTCTCGTACCCTGCTGCATTGGAGATGATCTCAATAAGCCCTCGAACCTTGGTCTTGGCATTGAGGTGAGATTTTAAAAGTCACCAGATTAGTTTCAAATGGACAGCCTTGAGCATCTTAGACTATCTGGAGGGTAAGTTAGTGGGTGTCATTGTAGAAGGTGATAGAGAAGGAGGCCAAACCCACCGCCATGCTCTGGGCCTAATACAGTCTTTTCCTATTGAAAAGTGACAGTTGGGGAAGAAAAAAATCTCGACCTGTTTCTGTTACTGTAGTAGCATTCCTCATCCCTGGTCCCCGCAACTCCCCAGGCACTCATGAATTGGCAAAGTTTCAGAGACCCTCCCTCCCCTATGTCAAATACTAGAATATCATACAGGATTAAAGGTATAATATGCAGATCAAGACCTAGAGATTGAATACAGACTTCTAGATAGGCTGCTGCTTAGAATAATTATATTCTTTTTATATTTATTTTTTAGTATATTTCCAGGAAGAGGAAGATCAAAACGTTGTGCTGGAAACTACCTCTGAAGGCTACACCTTCCAAGTTCAGGATGGGGCTCCTGGGACCTTTACCTTTTAGATCACGTAGCTGAGGCATACATTTGTTGTGTACCGCGTTTGGTATTTTGTCTTATTGTTTCTCTACTAAGAACTCTTTTTAAATTGTGGTTTGTTATTGTAGCACTTTTTACACTGAAACTATACTTGAACAGTTCCAACTGTACATACTGTATGAAGCTTGTCCTCTGACTAGGTTTCTTATTCCTATGTGGAATTTCATATCTTGCAGCATCCTGTAAATAAACATTAAAGTCCACCCTTTTCTTTACTTCACCATGCCTGTGTGTGGCTTTCTAATTTGGAGCCTTTAATGTCGCTGGTGAAAGGTAACCCATCCGAACTGGTGTGATGAACCAGAGTAGTCCTGGCTGCAGTTTTTACAGAAGAATGAATAACATTTTCCAGAAACCCTCAGCCAGTGTCTCCTTAAGTCTCCTTGGCCAGGGAGATGGGCTAAACACCTTAAATTTAATCATAAATCTCTCCTGGAGCTACAAGCGGAATTCATTCCTCCCAAACTTCAAGGGTGAATGGGATTCCAAGGTCAATCATGGCTGCACATGGGCCTCACCTGGGAAAGTACCCAGTTCTGTTTAGTTGATGAGGGGCGTGAGGGTCCACCTTGGGTCTTTTTTAAAAATGCAATTCCCAAGGGCTCCTGTACAGTGTAGGTTGATAGACACTATTCTTTTTGAGATGGAGTCTCGCTCTGTTGCCCAGGCTGGAGTGCAGTGGCACGATCTTGGCTCATTGCAACCTTTGCCTCCCAGGTTTAAGCGATTCTCTTCCTCAGCCTCCTGAGTAGCTGGGATTACGAGCACCCACCACCATGCCCAGCTCATTTTTGTGTTTTTAGTAGAGAAGGGGTTTCACTGTCTTGGCCAGGCTGCTCTTGAACTCCTGACCTCATGATCACCCACCTCGGCCTGCCAAAGTGCTGGAATTATAGGTGTGAGCCACCACATCCAGCTGATAGCCACCACTCTTAAGGAATGTGCTGTCACTGGAACAAGGCAATGGATTCTGAGTGGAAACCACAAAGTGTTACCTACAGTAGTACCACATAAGTCTTAGGAAAAGTGAAATGCTCACTGCAACCTCCACCTCCTGGGTTCAAGCAATTCTTCTGCCTCAGCCTCCCGAATAGCTGGGATTATAGGTGCGTGCCACCACACCCAGCTTATTTTTGTATTTTTAGTAGAGACGGGGCTTCACCATGTTGGCCAGGATGGTCTCAATCTCTTGGCCTCATGATCCACTGCCTTGGCCTCCCAAAGTGCTGGCATTACAGGCGTGAGCCACTATGCTCAGCCAAGACATCTTTTCAAGTCAGTAGTAATATACTGCAACAAGTCTCCATTTACCTTCTTGGCTACAAACACAAGGATTTTCTTCCCCTAGTTCATCAACATGCATATAAATATATTTTGCCTTTTGCAGGTAACAGTTGTGTTTTAAAATCCTTCCATGGAATGATGTTTAATCCTTACCTTGTTTAGGTATAGAGCACTGGCTAATACTTATTTGAAGCATCCCCTACAGCCAAGTTGCTAAAATGGGACACTAGGCCGGGTGCAGTGGCTCACGACTATGATGCACTTTGGGAGGTTGAGGCAGGCAGATCACTAGAGGTCAGGAGTTTGAGACCAGCCTGGCCAAGATGGTGAAACCCTGTCTCTACTTTAAAAAAAAAAAACACACAAAACAAAAATTAGGGATGCGGTGGTGGGTGCCTGTAATCTACTTGGGAGGCCGAGGCAGAAGAATCGCTTGAACCTGAGTGGCGGAGGTTGCAGTGAGCTGAGATCGCGCCATTTCACTCCAACCTGGGAGACAGAATGAGACCCTGTCTCAAAAACAAAACAAAAACACACAAAAAAACAGCAAAAAATAAAATGGAGCACTAAACCCCTGTGTTACACATGGTCCTCGTAAGCATAGAGCATTTTGTTTGGAACCGTGGATTACTTTCTCAGCTTTTCCTGTACAAAGGCTGCCATAAAGGGAAGGGGGAAGAGACATTAACAGTACAGACGGCCCTTCCTTTCCTACTTACTTGCTCCTCTCTTCCTCTCCCCGAGTCCCTTCTTGGATACTGAATCCAAAAGTCTTCAGCTTGAGAAAAGGTGATGGGGAAGTAAACCTGGACATCCTAGATTTTTGCTTTAACATGGGAGAGTTTTAATGGCTTCAGAGGGACTGGTGTAAAAGACAGGATAGAAAGTGTAAGGTCTGGATTTGTTAAAGGAGGCATGACTCAATAGTGAGGTAATGAGCAGGAGATAGCTGGTTTCCAAAAAAGTTTTTTTTCATATTTTAGATAAAATGCTTAACATGCTAGTTTCCTTGGAGTCGTTAGATCCATAGAGGCATTGGGAGATTTGTATTTAATTTATATGTGGGTAACTTAATATCTTTGAGAATGACAGAATGACTTTATAACCAGCTTGATTTGTAAAAGTCACGATAAAAACATTATGTAGCCACCAACTTCTCCCTCTTGTAGTGTTAATGTCTAAATTGCCAGTGATTTATTAAAGTACCAACATTTTTAGTTTCCTAGCGGTTTGAAATCTCTTTATTTTTTATTTTTTCTTTTTTTTTTGAGACGGAGTCTCGCTCTTGTTGCCCAGGCTGGATGGAGTTCAGGGGCGTGATCTTGGCTCACCACAACCTCAGCCTCCCGGGCTCAAGCGATTCTCCTGCCTCCGTCTCCCAAGTAGCTGGGACTACAGGCTCCCGCCACCACACTTGAGTAATTTTTTTTTTCTTTTGAGATGGAGTCTCGCTCTGTCTCCCACGCTGGAGTGCAGTGGCGCGATCTTGGCTCACTGTAATCTCCACCTCCCGGGTTCACGCCATTCTCCTGCCTCAGCCTCCCGAGTAGCTGGGACTACAGGCACCTGCCACCACGCCCAGCTAATATTTTGTATTTTTATTAGAGATAGGGTTTCACCATGTTAGCCAGGATGGTCTTGATCTCCTGATCTCGTGATCCGCTGGCCTCAGCCTCCCAAAGTGCTGGGATTAGAGGCGTGAGCCACCGTGCCCGCCAATTTTTGTATTTTTAGTAGAGATGGGGTTTCTTTCTTTCTTTCTTTTTTTTTTTTTTTCAAGACAGAATTTCACTCTTGTCGCCCAGGCTGGAGTGCAGTGGCGCGATCTTGGCTCACAGCAACCTCCATCTCCCAGGTTAAGCGATTCTCCTGCCTCAGCCTCCCAAGTAGCCAGGATTACAAGTTCCTGCCACCACACCAGGCTAACTTTTGTATTTTTATTAGAGATGGGGTTTTGCCATGTTGGCCAGGCTGGTCTCAAACTCCTGACCTTAAGTGATCCACCCGGCTTGGCCTCCCAAAGTGCTGGGATTACAGGTGTGAGCCACCGTGCCCGGCCATCTAGCAGTTTGAAACGTCATTTAAGACTTTGATAGGGTTACAGAGCGCGGGGCCGGCGGAGAGGAAAGCTGGAGGCATGGGTGGTTGGCAGGAAGTGAGACTGGTGCCTGGCAGATGCGGTGGTGAAGATAGGTACTGATTTTGGATTAGGAATTGTTTTCTCACTTACCTTCTTTAAAAGAAGAATGTGGCCATTAGCCTTCAGTTCTGGCACGGGATTAGGAATGGCTTACTCCAACTGTCAGCATGATTTCCAGGCTCCGTATCTTCTACATGGAAAATATGTCAACGAGCAGGAGCAGTGACTTCAGTTGAGGACATCCCAGTGGGAGGACAGGAGAAATCATGTTTACTCCTCAGGATAGTGAAGTGCCCTGGAGTAAGCTGTCATTCTTCTGTAACAACGTTATCAGCAATGCTTTAAACTCCAGCACCTGGTTATGTATTTGAAATCAAGTCTGTTTCTTGTTTTGTATTTTCTCTCTGGAAATTGTAGGGAGGTGGTCTTCAGTAAATTAAACCAAAAAAAAAGGAAAAAAAAAAAAAAAAAAAACTTTGATAGGCTGGG